TGCTGAAGTTCTCTTGGAGAGTTAACTAATTTCTAAGTTAAATTGAAATCTCTCTGGTGCTGAAATTAAAAGTAATTTCAGCACTTACAAAGCAGTGGGTTGTTAGTTTGATGAAGTATGATTGGTTAGTTTTTAAAATTTTATAGAGATAAAGTATCATAATAATAACCAATGATAAAGACTAGTTTAGATCTGGTTCCACTTGAGGCAATGTTGAAGATAATTTTCGTTGCGAGCCGATAGCTTCTCCTTTTTCAGTCTCAACCTCGATGGCGCAGCTACGCTACCCAGCAGGGACGTCCTTTTCTTGTCAGAGCATACTCGAGCACCTGCGTAGTCTTTAACAACGTCGGTAGTTCCTACATAAAGGCTTGCGGTGATATATCCATCCACCATTGTTTGTCCAACTGTCGTCTCTAGGTGACCTTTGTATGACCTTGCATACTTTTTCAGGCGCGAGTACACGACTCTGAGCCACCTCGTTTCTGATAAGACTAGTCCATGTTTTGGTCCATGTCCAGAATACTGGTCCTCGTATAATCCGACATTGCAAGCATCCGTAACTGTCCCGGAAGGTCTGCTAATCACAGACTGACACCAGCGCGATCGTTGCGTGCCTTCATCTCCAGCTGCACACAAGGCGCTGACCTGCACGTATTCACTGAGGCTTGATAAAGTTGATGTAACAGAAGTTTGATGTCAGCAAAAATTCGAATGTCATAAATGATTGTTGGTAAGTAGTCAGTTTATTCAACTGACATAGCCGTGTTTAAATGTTTGGTCTAATCTAAAAGCTCTATTTTTGCTCATTTTTAGTGTTTTTTTCCGGTTTTGCACGAATGGGTTTGCCCGAACTCCTTAGTAAAACGTTAATGGCAAGCTACTAATAATGGCTATCATTTGTCAGTCTAATAGGATAGATTGTATTACAATTAAACATGGTGTGCCCAGTTTAATCTCCGTGCAACCAAAAAGCTTATCAATCCCAGATATATTGAGTCATTGAGAGAAGTAGGTCGAACTGATAATAAAAAAAACGTTCCGAAAAGAAAAAAGTAATTAATTTAAAAAAGGCTGGAAGAAAGTATTTACTCTTTTGAGCCATTGGTTTGATTTACTTTGTAATTATGAGCTGGACATTTTTACTACATTGTGAAAATAATTCTAGGAAAAACTGCTTAAATCGAGGCAAAACCAGGCAAACTTTCCTTGTGCGCTTCTTTATCATTTTGAAAAAAATCACTTCAAAAACTGTTTACAGAAAACAGACGAAAAGGTTTTTCTATTTCTGAGCCTAATTTTTTGCTGGTGCAGTTTTTAGAACGGAATCGAATTTTTTTGATTCACCAAATAGAATATAAACAAACTCCTCATCATTTCACGAAAAATGTTCACAGGTTACCTACTTGATAATCAGAACACTTTGGAGTTGACTATAGATTCGAGTTTTTCATTATTTTAGCTTCCTATGACAACAAAGGGAGTTACGCGTTTCAAGGTGACGCTTTGAATGATCTTGTTTTTCAAAGATTTCTTTTTATATTAGTGTAAAGTGAAAAAACTGATTATTTCTTTAAAGATCATCCCTCCACACACTGTTTTTATTAATTATTGGTGTATTGAGCGTAAAATAACGTGTTAGATAGAAAAATAAGCCTCTCTCAAATTCAGTTGAAAGCCTGCCTAACAATTGCTTACGACTTAAATGCACGCGGTAAACCCAAACAGACAGTTAGAAAAAAAAGTTTTCAGCTTAAAGAATTTATAAAAATTAAATGAGATGAAAAATCTTGCAAGTAAACATAGGCTAGTTGAGAACTAAGTCAAAATTGCATTGGAGAAAAAAATAAGACAACCAACAAATATCTAATGGGGGCCACTTTCTTCAAAATCGAAGCAACCAAAATGAAAGATCTGGAAATGCATAGTTTATACAGTTGCAATTGATACAAATATCTTTGATTAATAAATTGAGACTGCTACCTTCTCCTTTTTGCCATTTCCTGCAGATCATGCAGTTTGTTCTAGTCTCAGTTTCGATCCTACTTTTTTGAAGTCAAACTAATGTTCTCAGTTGAATCAGCTAATTTTTTCCGTTGCATTTTAAATTTTTTGTGCTTTATGCTTTGTTTTAACCCAATTCGTTCCCTTTTTTGAAACTTTATTAAAGGCGTATAAACTGTGTTCTATTGCCTTATCTTTCTTAGCGTAATCGTCTACCTAAGGATTCGTTTTTTTCTTATCCCATATTATGTTATGTGTATCTATTTGATATTGATTTTAGTAGGAGTATTTTTTGTCTCAATAAGTCTTGACATTGTATTTGGTACCTATTAAGCATCATCTGAAACTATATGGTTTCACGTGACGTTAAGTTACTGACTCTAATTATCAAGTTAAAGATAGGTATTTATCAAGAAGTTAGGAAAATTCCAGGTCGAATCTCACCTCAATTCCAATTGATGTCTAACCAAACTATCAATCGAAGATTTTTGAATTACTTCGTCATTGCTTCGGTCTTCCGAGACTATAAACTCCAGTTTTAGGCGGCTATTTCATACTAAAGATCCATAAGATGGGTAGAAAACGGTATCAATCCCGACTTTCTGGGTATCAGTGGGTTTCAATCCCAACTTTCTGGCTATCAGGAGCTCTAGTGGGTTGATCAACCACCCCCGGGCAGCAAGGAAAAGATCTTTCCGTTCCTTTTAGAAAAAACGAACTTCCATGTCACACTTCTATCGTGATTGGCTTTTTCTGGATTTTTCTAAAAGATTTAGTTAGATTGCCATTAATAACCCAGCTATTATAGTTAAGTGTAACCCATGATAAATTTTCTAAAGTGCAAGTTAAGTGGTCCACTCCCAGTTGAAAGGGGAACAGACTACTCTCCGGTTTCTTTGCTTTCTTGTGGCTTAAACAACCCTAAATGTTAATCAAATTTCAAGCAAAGCTTACAAATGGTCAGTTTTTTGAATTATGGGTCCTATGGGTGTCATACCTGTCAGTTTTCATCCATATCCGATCCGTCTTCTCGATTTATCCAACTTTCAAGATCCATTGTTGCTTTTCCCGGAAAGGACTATAAAAACCGGAAGTAGGCACCGGAGGCATTTTGTGTACAACGTGTCTTTTTCGGCTTTGAAATATAGGGTCTTATACCGCACTAAGACCAAAATTTCCCCCATTCAAAAAATTGCGTACGTTTCCGTTTTTTGGTGTAAGTGGTGTTTTGCTCCACTTACATGATTTAGCTGCTACCTGCTATATATCAAAAGTTTTCCTCACTACTTCTAACTGAGGCTGAGACATGGCTTCCCGAGGTCGGGACCAAGGATCTCTGTGGTTCTAAACTGAAGCCTTCCCCAACTACGTCTATTGCATACTATCATTTGGTCCCATTCAGAAAGCTAGTTACTGAGTTCTCATAAAGCGAACTTCCGGGAACAGATATCACTCGGTTCATGGAGTCAGAGGGGTTCGGTCGGGTTTTCACATGCCTGGCTCAAATCATAAATATTTTTCGTCCTATGAATTTCGTAAAGTATCCAGTTTAGATCCTATTAAGGAATAAGATCATCCGACTCCTTACGCGCCTTCTGTTTTCGCGCAGGTGAGACTTAGTTTTTCGAGCTCCATCTTTTCCAAAACTGTCTACTTTTTTTACCATGTCTCTTGTTGGCTTTCGCTAAAGCTAAGCATGGATATAAACAGTAGAACCACCAATTTTCAACTTTTCCCCCTCCAAAAGGCTCCAAACAACGAGCACGGCATACTTGCTAAAATTAGGTGATAATTTAACGATTTCAACATCCAATAATTAGATTTTTAAGACAATGCATCGAATGAGTAAAAGTATCAAGTTAGAAACGATAGACGGAAACAATTTCTTGCTCAAACTTCTTCCCCAAAGTTTATTTGAGGAGGCAACGGAAATCTTTTAACTTAACCACCCGCATCCAGTTTCAAGCTAACAAACTGATTATAAATTAATTTTAATACCAGTTTTAAAAATATGATAAAAAATTATTTTAATCAATTAATAATTGTTTATAATCTTTCATTTTGAAATCAATATATTCAATTACAAAAAAATATTATCGATTATATTCGATTATTTTTTTCCGAATTAATAATTCATTTGTTTTGCAGAAAAAAAACCCATTAAAATCGATTATATATTTTAAAAATCCTTTCTGCTTGCCCATTTTGTCTTCGATCGTGCACATTAATTGCTTGTATTCGTAAACGTTGGCTCATGTGAAAAATGGGAAAACTGTTTTAACAGTTTTCAAATCAATTCAATATTATAACGTTTCTATTTTTTTTTCTTGATTTTAGTTGTTTCATGATCACATTTCAGATGAACCAAAGAGTGACAAGACATCTCACTTTTGAAGATTTTTGACAGAAAAAAGTATTGTAATCTGTTAAATGGATTATAATAGAATATAAGAAATTATAAGAGACTTTTGGAAAAAAAAATAATCAATTATAATTGATTATCATTTATTATAATGTCACGAAAAATGTTATCATTATAATATAGTATATATCGTTCACACATCTAAATTTGCGCTTGTAATTAATTATAATTTTAATAAAAGTAAAATTATATTTGCAATATAATCGATTATTTTCTCTTTTTACTGAAGGCGGGCACGTATATTTGTTGAAAATGAAAGTTACAAACAAATCAATTAATAAGGTTTGTTTGATTCATCTGGCTGGCTACCGATACTTCGACGGAATAGAATCGACTTTAAAAAAATGCTCAATTTCCCCCTGTGCACTATTTAAATACCCCCAGGCTTAATCATATACTTTTAAAAGATCAACAACGTGACTGAATTCCCAGCCTGAATTAGTATGCACTGTCCTCTCCGACAGTGAGTTCAATATGCTGAAAAATATATGCGCAATTGCTGTTATTCTAAATCTCAGGTTGAATAAGTTAATTTGATTATGTTCATTCAGTTCATGGATTTTCTAAATTTCAGCGCTAGCTTTGAGCGGAGGAGGCACTCTGTATGTCCATTCTCAAGAAAATAAAAGTAAAAGTGTGAGTGCGGTTGATAAAGAAAATGGAAGCGTAGTGAGGATTTTGAATACTTCGAAAGCAGACAAGGATAATAATTGGTTCTTTCACGCTCATGAAAATGTGTTACTGGTGGTAGAATGGAGACAGGATCTATACAAATCTGTGCATGTGTATGAAAATGAAGTTCAAAAAAGATCACTTCAACTTGAAATTTGTTTAAGTTTCAGGAACAGATCAGTTTTAAGCGGAAGAGACTATTTATTACTGCAATTAGACAAAGTCAGACTGGCAATACTCGATACAACCAGTCTGGATCTAAAGTGATTTTCAAATCAATCCAGTTGGATCAAATGACACATATCTTCTCGTTAGTGTGGGTAGCCAGAGGAGATGAGCAGAGTGGGGAAGGATATCTATTCGTATCAGGCCCGAGAGAAGATGCATTCACGTCTCATGTGTATGAGTTGAATGTGAAGAGTGTTGAGGATGGTGCTCTACTGAAACCACTGCAGATCCCATTCATGGACAATTATGGCTCTAGAAACATTTACTTCGGATGCGCAATGGGATCAGATGCCATTCTTTGTACAGATTTATGCGGCAAAAATGAGTCCGATTATGCTGATTTTCCAGTGAGTATTTTAAAACTGGAGAAAACCATCAATCAATGAAATCAGACCGAAAAAAAACAAATATTCAAGGGTATCAAATCTATTGTTCAGACCATTGAAAAAGGTGAGGAACTTTGTATTTGGATGTGTTTGAGTTTTTTCTTGTTTTCCACAAAAAAATCAGGTACTACAAAAATCAACGGGCTGGGTTGGATGATATATCATATTAAGGACCTTTCAATCGTAATTCGAACAAAAATTTTTATAGTGTCGAGAAACTTTTGATTTTTGCATAGTGCTAAGGCGTTCACTTTGGAATCGTCAGATCGTGTTTTCGATACCATGCCATGGCAATCATAGTGTGGGAAGACGAGATCTCACTTGACCTCTAGCTTCAGGGCTACCACAGCCTGACCAATTACGGTTGAAATAGTGGTACCACGTGAAAGTTCTGAATGCAAAAAAACGGCCTTGCTTCGCAAAAAAGAGGTTCTCTCCACAAAATTACACAGTCTGGAATGTGGGAGATCATACAAATGAACTATTGTCGGCATGCCTGTTAAGGCCTTCTGATAGCTCCTCTGCGATTGGCATAAACCCCATCATTATTATAATATCCAACGGGTGAGCAGGCTTTTATTAGCTTATTTATGCGTAAACTCAGCCTTTATGTAGTTTTCAGCGTCTTATTGGAAATTTTAGCGCCCTATTGGAGTTTTTATCTCCCTAAAAATTACCCTTTTTTTCACTGTTTTGCATGGTTTTTTTTTAAATTGCATGATTTGTTATGACTGTCAAGTATGTTATTTTTAGTTTTCCGTTCCGATCCTTTTATCACAGCTCGCAGGAAAAACGACTCTAAATTGAAAAAAAAAATTTTTTCTTCATATTTCTAAGACTATGGTTGCGGGATTCTGTGCTACTTGCACAGTAACCGGCTATCCTTGTAAATGATTATAAATTGTATCATGTATTTGGAATAAAATTACTGTATTTAGTTTTTATCAAAATCTATTTTGTACATATTTCAGAATTTATTATTTGTTATGCAAGCTTCTTTTGATAAGACAAACAAATATTGTCATCAACATTTTGTGCTTCAATTCAACTACATCTTCGAGCAGGGCGAATTTTAGCCCTTCCCCTATCTTCTTGCCCTAATCCTGCTGCCAGTTTGGCGTTACTCAGTAGAAGCTCAGGTGTGTTTGATTGGTTAACCAGTAGAGAGTAGTCGACAAAATTTGGTCGAATAGCTTCGATTAAGTCCACAACTGGAATGAAACTCTTGATATGTTATCACTAGATTTATAGCGTGTTTCTACTAAATAGCAGCGTATAACTACTAAAAAATGACATTGAAAAGCTTTTTCATCATTTTATAGAATACGGATAAAACCATCGATTGAGAAACAATAACAAATATTGATGGGCTAATGAGATATGAATATTAAGTCCAGCTTCAGTTTCATCTAAATCTCTTTCTGTGTTTTTCTAAGATATTTTTGAGTCGGAACTTCAGCTAGCGATTATAGCTGCGCAAGTTTTTTTTCGGCTCGTTCAAACAGCGTTGAAGACGTATTTATCAAGTGATCATTAGCTTGAAAAGGACAGATTAAAATTGCATTCATTTCCGTGTAATACAAAAAGTATAATAGTCGAACATCTCAACAACAAAAAATCAAAAAAAAACAATTTCTTTGAATTTTGCAACGGTTTTCACTGCCAGAAAAAATATCATCTAAGAACAGACTTTTTTTATGCTAACAGACATTTAAAATTATAGTCTCGCTGCTCTTCTGATTGCTCTTTGAACCGTCAAACTTTTTTAAACTTTGGTCTAAAGTTTCAAAAATAACAAGCATTGTAATTTGAATCTACAAACAAAACATTTGGAGCAATTTATATAAATTCCCGAATTCATTGCAAGGAAAGGCAGACTGAAAATTTCGCGCGTATTATTTATTTAGTTATTCGAAATGTGCCGAAACGTGCCAACAATTTTTTTCTACAGACTACAAAAAAGTGAAAGAAAACTAATTGCAGAAGTTGTTCCAAAAGAAAATCAGAGATTCTTTTTTAAAGTCAAAGATTCTTTTAAAAAGTCATTCTACTTTTTTTCAGTCTACTCTCAGTTTACTCCACCAGTTAAGCCTTGTTAACAAAATGACCAGTTTGCTGACTTTGAATGAAGTTTTTTTTGAGAATTATTTTTTGGATTATCATAATTGCATAGTTGACATTAAAATAAAATTAACAACAAGCAAGAAGCCGGGCTAATATAATTAGGTTAGTCTTAATTTTTCAAAATGTCAAAAAACTGTGCTTGCGTTATTTTTCTTCAGACAACTTTCTCACATTTTTGAGTTTCTTAATTCTTCTGAGATCTCCTGATGGCCTAAGCGCAAAAAAGACGTCTTCACTTGCGACTATTTTGAGATATTCAAATGCTCGCGAAAATTCTCGCTCTATTATTCCGGCTTCAAATATCTGCTTGAAACACCAAAAAACACATCCAAAAAAATTCTCTTTTTTTCGAAAATTAACCATGATTTGGTCAAAAACTCAATCGGACCTTTACAATTGCAGTTTTATTTTCCAGAGTTTTGCCCTGATACCATTTGTTTTTCTTTATATTGTCTGACATTTTACAGGCACCTTCACTCAGTCCAGATCAAAAAGGAAATCAATACATCGTCAAGAACTAAGAAATGATGTCACTGTTTTGCAAATTGTTAATTTTTATTTCACTTGCTGATTGTAAAAATTTCGTTCAGAGTATAGGTCCTGATCGTTTTGCTCAAAATTTTGGTCAACAAAACTTTTTCTGACAGTCGATTACAAATTTTGATCAGCCTCGCCGAAGACTTCGACACAAAATGATAAAGTTCAGAAACTTTTTGAAACGATCATAAGACATACAAACTATGAAAAAAATTTAAAAAGGCAGTGACTTGATTTATATAATGTATCATTTTCGCGTTATTAGCAGCAGATTAAGGAAGGTAACAAATTTGTGACAAAAAAGTCTGCATGATATGGAATTTTAGCCTTTCTCAAACACAATGAATCACTCTCCAATTATCAAAAACATATCACATCTTTACAGACTTTCAAGCACAACGTTGTGGAAATTACTTTCACAGAGCTGAAACTTTAGTAACGAAAGTAACGAAACTTTAGTGCTCGAGGTGATTTTTTAGACAATTTTCAATTTTTTAGCATTTCATTTCTGAAAGCATTTTTTCATCAATCAGTAACTATTTTGTCCTGAGCTTAAATTTGAATAAAGTATTTGACCTTTGATTATTTTTCGTAAAGTTATGAGGGTTCAAAGATTGCCAAATTGGCCAATTTGGAACAATTAACGAGCGACAAATTTTTGCGCTTAAAAGAAGCTTATTTGCCATAACTAATTTGTTTCTAGGAGCAAAACTTATCACTTTGTACTTATTATGGCTTGTGGGGGACGATTTTTGCAAAAAAAAATCTCAAAATAAAAAAAAATTCGTTTTACTTAGTTTAATTTTGTCATGTTATTACTGCTCCATAGACCTTAAAAGGCAGTCGGACCATTCAGGGCTTTGCACTGATACGAGCTGTCTTGTTTCTTTATTTTTTCTAATTTCAAATAAACTCTTCTCTATCTTTCTGCAGCCTAAAAAGATGTTCTGTTAATGGCTTATAGTTTCTTTTTAGTATAACTTCAGTCCAAGTATAATTTCAGTTCAATTCGAAATGGTTTTGAATAACAAGTGTAATTTTAGTCCAAGTATAGTTTCAGTTCGACGGAAACAGTTAACGTAACTGCGCACTTGATGTTACAGCAAACAATACTGCGTGCGTGAAACCTTGAACCTGTTAGTTTGCCTTTTAAGGTAACCTGTTACGTTTGATGGAAGAATAATACTTTTCTTAAACCCAAAACTGAGCTTAATTATTTTCAAAATCTTCCTCCTCGCGCATTGTAAAGTACAAAGAGATAAATTTTCAAGCAATTTTTGAGTTATAGGTAAATTCTGAAGTTCCCAAGCTCAAGATGGAATGATTTTTGAGCTAAATCAAAATACCGCTCTGGCTTATCTTCAAAAAAAAACGGACAAAACAATTTATTAGCGCAAAATTATCATCTCAAATTCGCGCACTAGTTTTCAATTCAAAACCCATTACTTCAGAAAATAGTCTCTGGTGATTTACCTGTCTAAGTTTGAGCTCAAGGCAGCAATATTTTTATACGGTAGAAAAACTTTGCCGAAAACGTTATGAAACAATTTCAAAAAAAAGTATATAATCTTTTTCTTTGAAAAGTGCAACCATTAATCCGAATTCTCAATTAGCTTCCTATTATGTTCCTTAAGACTTTAAAACAGCCAGCGTCGTAGCCGTCAAAATAGTTATCAATGTTCGACATCAATGCCCCTGGCCCTACGAAAAGCTAGACTAACTATTTTTAATTAAATAAAGTCAGATAAACAAAATATTATAGTTTTTTTTTGGGTAAGTGAGAGATATTTGAGCTCTAGGGCGTTTTACCCTAACAAATTTTTTAATTCCAATCAATGAAAAAAATCACACTTTCAGAAAAGTTTATCATACCCTGCGCACCAAACTAAAAACATATAACACTGCTGATCATTATATGTACAGGGAGTTAAAATGCAAATTTGCCGCTGTTCTTTGAAGAGTTTAGTGATGAAAATATATTCAAAATTCTTCCTCGATGTTTTTGATCAAAAATAACATACAGTCTGCAACAGTTTGACGCCCTGCGCACTAAACTAAAAAATATATTTCATCTGTGATCAGTTTTTCTACAGTAATTGGAAATTGCCTACAGCGGTTGGAGTTTGCGTAATGGAGTTTGGCCAGTTTAGAAATAACGATTTATCTCTGAAGACATTTAATTAAATGGTCAGAAACGCTTCGCTCTGACGCAGATTCAGTCATATCCTTTTTTTGTTATATGTCACCTTTTCAGAAAAAAAACAAATATTCAAGGGTATCAAATCTATTGTTCAGACCATTGAAAAAGGTGAGGAACTTTGTATTTGGATGTGTTTGAGTTTTTTCTTGTTTTCCACAAAAAAATCAGGTACTACAAAAATCAACGGGCTGGGTTGGATGATATATCATATTAAGGACCTTTCAATCGTAATTCGAACAAAAATTTTTATAGTGTCGAGAAACTTTTGATTTTTGCATAGTGCTAAGGCGTTCACTTTGGAATCGTCAGATCGTGTTTTCGATACCATGCCATGCTCAATTTCCCCCTGTGCACTATTTAAATACCCCCAGGCTTAATCATATACTTTTAAAAGATCAACAACGTGACTGAATTCCCAGCCTGAATTAGTATGCACTGTCCTCTCCGACAGTGAGTTCAATATGCTGAAAAATATATGCGCAATTGCTGTTATTCTAAATCTCAGGTTGAATAAGTTAATTTGATTATGTTCATTCAGTTCATGGATTTTCTAAATTTCAGCGCTAGCTTTGAGCGGAGGAGGCACTCTGTATGTCCATTCTCAAGAAAATAAAAGTAAAAGTGTGAGTGCGGTTGATAAAGAAAATGGAAGCGTAGTGAGGATTTTGGATACTTCGAAAGCAGACAAGGATAATAATTGGTTCTTTCACGCTCATGAAAATGTGTTACTGGTGGTAGAATGGAGACAGGATCTATACAAATCTGTGCATGTGTATGAAA